TAATTTTGCAGAATTTTTTTCTCCTTTTCAGGAACTCTAGAACTATTGAAAAGCTGCTCAGAACAACTTTTTATTTGCCTTTTTGCCACATGTCGTATGCTGCGTGAATCTGGCATACCCAATTTTCAAATCAATTTTTTTTTGTGAAAATATCCAGAACTTTGTTCCCCTTTTCAAGAACTCTACAACTATTGAAAGGCTACTCAGAACAACTTTTTTTTTCGTTTTGCGTCATACCGTATGCCAACTTCCCAGACATCATTTTTGTTTATATGATTTTTATTGATGTGATTAGGAGTGGCAAGTATATATATTAAAAATAAAGTGATCAGTTATAAAATATATAAATGTTTACATGAATAAAAAAATACCCAAAACAATAAGTTGAAATACCCATGTTCAAAATCGTAACAGTGACATCATCGCGTGTTTGTCACAGACACGGTTTATGTCAAAAATTTTCAAGTGAAACTACCTTCTAAAAATTATTGTATCATGCTCTAAAACTTACTTTTGGAACGCGTATGTATGTGTAACTCGAAGTGACTTCGAGTAGCTTGTGGAACAAACTTTATATCAATTACGTGACGAAAATTATACGCATTTTATACCCACGTGTGCACAAGGAAATACCGTTCGTTCAAATAACGGTTGTTTGTAACAGCCTAAAGGAATCGATATAGGTTTATGTAGACAAATCCATACATAAATGCATGATTAAAATAGGACAATAACTCCGACTACCTCCCATATAACGGTTGTTGGCGGAAATACGAAAACTGCGTTTTTTAGCAATTACTGACTCTTAATCATTCAAAATTAATATTGACAATGACATTTTGGCGGAAAATACGAATATTATAAATTTGTGGAAAATGGCCGTAGCCCCGCCCACTTGTGTATATCTTGGTAACCGCTCCACCAATTTCTCCCAAATTTGGCGCGGTATTTGATCTTGTTACCAATCGGCTAAAAATTTGTAAAATGGGACAATAACCATGCCCACATCACATATAATCGTAGTTTAGAAAAATAAGAAATCTTCGGCCAAGCAGTAACCACTGAAGCTAATTTATTCAAAATTGATGTTTGCAGTAATTCTTCGGCAAGAAATTCATTTGTAGCCAATTTTTGGAAAATGGCCGTGACACCCCGCCTACTTATAACCACCTATACTTATATGGGCGAATCCAGTGAAAAGTCTACCGCGTAAAAAAATTAAAAATCCTATAACTAACTTATTTTTATGTCGATTTGGCTGCTTTTTATAACATATACTGGTTATGTAAGTAGAAAAATTTTTGCCAAGTGGTCTCTTTAGGTGGCGCCAGAGTCGGGATATTTCGAAAAAAGCATTTATGCTCAGATTTGTTTCACATTTGGTATGTTTAGTGGAAACGTAGTAGGACATAGATTAGCAAAAAGTGATACATCTGGTGGCGCTGATCAGGGCCGTCGAGAGGGTAGGGCTGAATTCTTCCGGGCCCGGGCTTGTTAAGGGGCCCAATATATCAGAACCATAACTTGTTATTCGTTTTTTTACAATGTAATTGCTCCTTCGTTATAGGCTTTTATTATAAATATATTTCCATTCGTGCTGATTTATCCTGACTATAAATTAAAGAAAATTATCTAGTGCTTTTAAATTAATACAATTTATGTACAGGGGCCCGTGATTTTTTGTCCGGGCCCGAGTTTTCTCTCGACGGCCCTGGCGCTGATGTCAAAATAAAAAGTTCGTTCGATATAAAATACATGTTTTCTTCCCGTTAAAAATTCTTTGAAGAACAATATTAACAAAACTTTTTCAATGGAAATTTTAGTAACGTAACGCCAAGTAACATCACGTCAGGTACTTCAGCTGATTAAACATAAAGCAGAAACGATTTTTTCATTTCAAAACTTGGAAAATAAACCTAAAATATTTCCAATATTACTGCAAAAGTTTTTATACAAATAGTCTTGCCCAATTCGCAGTTTTGCAATTTTGTAAACGAAGTCAAAATCCACTTTTTTTGTAACGTTTACTAATATGTTTAAATCGCTACTACCAACAGTAGTATTTTTTTACTGAATAAGGGGCCATTTTATTGCTATGCAAATCTAGAAACCCCTTTTTAAAATTTTGACTTTTTCAATTATTTTTATTTTTTAATTTTGACGTACGAGCGTCCGATATGTGTATTTCGTTAATCGTTATATGAATTTGTACCAAACTTGGTAGAATTATTTTAATTGACACAAAAAATCAGGACATGGAAAATGTTAGAAATCGGACTAAAACTACGCCTCCTTTCTCATAAGGCTACGGTTACTATGCATGCGTATTCTGACAAACTTTTGTTCTGATGATTTCGTCGGAACAAAAAAATACGAATCAAACAAACAAACGCGTATTTTTTTGTTGCTACGAAATCATCAAAAAAATTTCGTCAGAATACGAATGCATAGTAACCGTAGCCTAAAGGTAAATTTCAGAAAGGACGCTTATTTACTCTAGGTTAATACTCACAACACTCTCTTAAAAAGAAACAAGATTATTTTGGAATTTGAAAAATGGACGTTGCACTGCCCATTTATGACTACATAAGTTTTTCCCATTAATATAGGGTTGCCAGATATCTCTGTTGCCAAACCTGGACACTTAAGGGGGGGAGAGGCCTCTCGCTCCCTTCCATTTCGTTTCGACAAAAATTACGTACGACAGGATGTTGTAGNATAGGGTTGCCAGATATCTCTGTTGCCAAACCTGGACACTTAAGGGGGGGAGAGGCCTCTCGCTCCCTTCCATTTCAATCTGTAAAGCTAAGTGTACACGGTAGAGAAAAAATGCGAGATTTAGACAAAAATCTCGCTAGAGATATGTAAACACTCAATAAAGCTCTACGAGAGACTCAACAACAAAGTCTATGTGAGAGTTATTTAGCGAGATTTTTTCACCGTGTACACAGTCCAACGAAGCTAGATCGAAAATTCTACGACAACTCTACGCTCTATTTAGCAAGCTAAATAAACTTTTTGCTCTACGGAGACGTATAGAAAAGTCTTCACAATGAACTTCATTACAGATTGTTAAATTTTTAAATGGCTACGACATCAAACCATATATTCGATACAAGCACACCATTTTAAGTGCATTTAGAACTTAGCTAAATAATATACCGGGAATCATCCTCTTATTTTCAANTTTTATAACTTTAACAAAAATATCACAAATCAATACGTTTTCCTCGCAAACCAATACGTTTCCCTCGCAAACCAATACGCTTCCCACCAAAAATTTTATATTATGACGTCAACACTCGAACAGCTGATTTGTAAACAAGAGTAACGGACCTGCGCAAAGCGCAATCTCTTTATTCTATCATTCTTGCATATGTATAGTAGTTTGGCTGGAACTGCTCGGAGAAACTCCTTTCAAGGGAATTTTAAATATTAAAGGTTGTTTGATGCGGGTCCAAATGTACCAAAGAGAGAGGTTGCCATGTTTAAGTTTTAGGTACATTTGTCTACTTTTAGGTACAATTTTTCCGGCAAATAAATACAATTTGAAAATATAATTCTTGTCCATATTGCGAAAATGTCTTTTATAACATTTGAAAATAAGTGAATGCTGTCAAATCGACGAAGGGTTAGCGCTCCGCTGATGGCACCAACTATATTTTCTACATCGTGGCTTTGATATAAATACATATATACATACAACAAGCGTTGACAACAATTCGATATAGAAAACTAACTCTAGGCGAGAGGTAACTATGTATTGTCTACCGTGTATACAGCTTGTAGAGCACGTGATAGATAATAGTTGAGATTTCTCTATTTTGTCTCTAGCTAGAGTGAATATCTCCTACGTGTAAACTTAATTGAGAGAGGAGATTTTTATTTCAGTGAAACTCTCGAGAGATTTCTCTACCGTGTACGCTTAGGCCGTGGTTACGCCACCAATTTCGATTGGCAATCACCGTGCAATTGTTGCTGTGCACAGCACGGAGTGAGAGAATTTTCGAAATCGAACAGCCAGCACGATTTGCTGGGTGAACCGAACAGCCAGCACGCCAATTTTTCAGGGTGGCAATACGCTATTTTGCGAAAAAGTATTAGTATTAAATATAAGAATAGTAAAAAATATTTTTTTACTATTATTATAAAGTAGATATTATAAAAAATATTATTATAAAAATTAAATATTAAAAAAAGAAAAAATATTAAGTTGTTCTTCCATTTTTCATTTTCTGAGCTAAATTTTGATGCGTTTTTAGTTGCATTTTTACTTCAGTGCTGTCATTGTGTGCGAAATTGTATGAAATGGAAAATGGCATTTCTTAAGAAGCAACCCTGTGCTCGCCAATCAGCAAACAGAGCGTAACCACTTTTCACCAATCACCGAAATTTGTCTCTTTTGATTGCCAATTAAAATTGGTGGCACAACCACGGCCTTAGCTTAATGAAGCTCATTGTCAAGACTTTACTATACGTCTCCGTAGAGCAAAAAGTCTATTTAGCTTGCTAAATAGAGCGTAGAGTTGTCGTAGAGTTTCCGATCTATCTTCGTTGGACACGGCGAAAAAGTCTCGCTAAACAACTCTTACATAGACTTTGTAGGTGAGTCCCTCGTAGAGCTCTATTGAGTGTTTACACGTCAGATTTTTGTCTCAATCTCGCGTTTTTTCTCTACCGTGTACACTTAGCTTTAGACTTGTTTCAACTGCATTGGATGGTAAATTGGTTTGACGAAAATATTTTAATTTTTCGACACGTTGCAAAGATCCATCTACTGTTATGAACAGAAAAAAAGAACTTTAATATTTTTTTCGTCAGTTTTCAATGCAGTTAAAAGATCTGTATAATTTTGGTCATGAAAGTGATATCATAAATTTTGTGTTTCTAGTTCGGCTTTCGTCAATCGAAAATTTGTTACTTTAAAGAAGTATTATATTTGAAACATATTTATGTACATGTAATATTATACAAACATATGTATATGCGAATATTTGCAGTTGAGTTACGTAATCGCGCATCGGGCATGTCTGAAATGGAAAGAAATACAACAAAATTCGGTGGTTCAGCGCTTTCACGTTCACGTAGCGCACAAAGCTTGAAAATGTTGGGTGACAGCGCCACACAGGTGATAAGACTTTAACTTTTAGTAAAAATATACCTCTATTTATTAGGATGTTCTCTATATTTTTTATATACATACACAGGATGATAAAATGACAATACTGGCACAATTATTTTGGCTGTCTGTTTCTCTCCTGGAGAGCGATTATGAACATGAATTTCTTTTGGCGGTGCGTTTATTAACACGTGTGCTGCATCGCTTGCCTCTTGATCGTCCTGATGCTCGTGATAAAGTTGAAAAGTTGCAACAGCAACTCAAATGGGCGGGATATCCAGGAGTTCACGCGCTTTTATTGAAGGTAAAAACAGGTTAATTTATCAAAAATTCGTAAGAAATATATATACAGTGGTGGAAAAATAAATAGGGACACGACATTTTACCAATTTTTTCCTATATTTCTTTGTTAAGTTAATATTTGTTATTTTTTATAAAAGTATAGCTCATTATATAACAAAAACCATACAAAGTCATATTCCAAACTTTGTGCAAAAATTATAAAAATTCTGCGAACATGCATCGAAATTTTTAACTTTTTAACCAGATTTTTTTGAGTATGTCGTTGTATAGCCCATTAAATTTTAGTAAAATAAAGTGAAAGTTTTAAGTTGCTAAAAAATTTCTTTATTTTTTGGCAATTTTTTGAACGCATTTTCTCTATACAAAGTATGTTCGACAAATTTTATTATGGAAAAAAGTGCGTAATACATTCAGAATAAAAGTTATAAAAAATCAATTTTTCAGGAACTGTGGGCCATAAAACTGCATACTCAGAAAAATTCTAAAAAATCTGGTTAAAAAGTTGAAAATTTAGACACAATATACAGAATTTTTATAATTTTTGCACATAGTTTTAAAAATGAGTTTATATGGGTTTTGTTAGATAATGAGCTAAACTTTTATAAAAAAAAAATATAAATATTAAACAAACGAAAGAAAAATGGGAAAAATTTTTTAAAATGTCGTGTCCCTATTTATTTTTCCACCACTGTATATACATACCGCTATCATCAAAGCAAAATGCGTTATTTGACAAAATTTTAACTTTACAGGAAAATCGATTTTTTTATTTACGTAGGAAAAGTTTACACAAGTTCTATACATGATAACGAAAATCGTATTATTTAAGATTTGGCATTAAATCTTTGATTTATGATGATATGCAGAAGCTTATCGACTGCTGAGTGGGAGATCGATTTATCTCGGCAGCCAGTTCGAAAACACCCTATCTCAGAAAACTTTTCAGGATTGCCCTATTTCGGAATTTTATTTAAAGTCTACCTATCTAATAATTTGGTTGAAAAACGCCCTATCTGAGAATTCGGTTCAAAAACGCTCTATCTCATTTCAAAATAAATTGAAAATATGCTGCGATAGGGTGTTTTTGAATCGGCAGTTTTGAGGGCGTTTGAACCGAATATTGAAATAGTGCGTTCTTCCACCAAATTCTGAAATAAGGCGTTCTTGAAAAGTTTTTTAACATAGGGTGTTTTCGAACTGGCTGGCGAGATAGGTCGATCTTTCACTCAGCAGTCGATATATGTTCGAGAAGCAACAAATAAGCCTGTAGACTACCTAAAAAAAAGAATAAGTGCACCTGAGCCGCACTACCATGATACGTCTGATAAATCTAATTGGACTTATACACAAAAAAAAACACAGAAACAAAAAACTTTTTAATAAAATCTAGTTAATTATACGCAATTTATATAAAAATCATATAAATTCACATTTTAAACTTTGTTNTGATACGTCTGATAAATCTAATTGGACTTATACACAAAAAAAACACAGAAACAAAAAACTTTTTAATAAAATCTAGTTAATTATACGCAAATTATATAAAAATCATATAAATCCACATTTTAAACTTTGTAGAAAAATTTAACAAGTTTTCACAACACACTTTTATTCATAGTTTTTAGAAAAATTCAAAATTTTTTAGCCCATTGAATTTCATTATAATAAAGTGCAAATTTTAGTAGGCTAAGAATTTGTGTTGATTTTTGATACTTCTTTGTTTGCAGACGATGTTATTATTTTATTCCATACATAACGCTCGTATCTTTTTTCAAGAAAAAAAATTTATAATTCTGCGAGAAAATTCCGTTCGCAATACCTCCATTAAAAAAAAAACACATTTTACAGTAAAATACGAGTACCAGTTATTTTTTGGAACAGTTTTTCTATAAAATAAAGGAACTCATGGTACTATGTACAATAGATCTAAGGTCGTAGTGCATAGTCTCTAACAATCTACTATGTGTACCTGTTTTACTTACACCCCGAGACAAAATGATGCGGTCCAAAAAAATCCATATTTCTAACCTTGTTAACCCAGTCAAGTTAGCTCAAAAAATACGGGTAAGCTTAAAATAATTCACATAGAGCTGAAAATTAATACGAATGTTGCGAACACCATTATGAGTGAAATGTCAAAAGTCCCCATGGATCCCACGTCTGCAAAAAAGTTATTCAAAGTCATCCGAAAGTGAGTTTGATTGTTTGCTATGCTTTCACGCTTTAACTATTCAACCGATCATCATGAAATTTT